AAGAGAAACCCCAGTGGGCAGGAAGGCAAGCTGAAAAAACAAATTCATGTAGAATCCTAGAGAATGTCAGGCGCAGGTGATTACCCTGCAAGGCAATTTAGGATAGTCAATACACACATGTATAAATAAGTCAGTGAAAGTTAGCAGTAACTAATGAAAGCTACTTTAATACAGGGTGAGGAATACAAAATGAAGGTCACAGAACCAGGCAGCCTCAGCATCCATGACCACTTGGGTCACTGCTGGTTTCTTGTTTCTCATTCTGATTTAGCGTATGAGCTTCCCTCCTGAATTTTTGTACATAACCTGCTGCATTTTGGAGTACTGCAAGAAGTGAAAGATGTCAAATGGCGAGTCTCTAATGCTTAAGAAGTCACTTTAAGATTCTGTGATTACAAGGGGAGTTGTTAGATGTGCCTGGTATTTTTGGGAAGGGAATCCTCCTTCACACATCCACATGCCTAAAAACACAAAATTTAATTACCCTGTATTATTGCACCTACTCATCATTTGTTGGCCATAGAGACAGCCTTTCAAGCAATACAGCATTGAGTCAAGTATTTTGCACCCTACCAAGATCTGATCAATAAATAAGGTGCAAGGTCACGCTTAGTGCCCATTTTTTTGCTATTAGCAATTAAGTAACCATTTTCAAAGCTCACCCCTCTTCCTCTTTTCTGTTCCATACTGAGGTGTCTGTAACAGAGACAGGCAAGGAGAGTTCTGGCTTCACTGGTCACTGATCGGTATTATAGGAATCAGCAGGGAGGCCAGAGGTCAACCACATAAACCCAACAAGAAAACGCCTGCTCTGTGCATGCATCAGCTAGCAGAAGTCGGTCATCTTGCTGAAAGGGACACAGCAGAAAAGGTCAAGTCTAGAAACCAGCAGTTCCAGTGGATGGCAGTCAAAATGTGAAGAGATCCCTTCATGCTGAACATACAGCACAACCTAAACATGGCAATATTACACATATTCTGTACAGATTACACAATTTCAGAAACTGTACATACTTCTGACTACTTATGCTTTTGAATATCTTCACACAGACTAGAATTGATTGGCAACGTTTCACTTCAAGTTTTGCATTTCATGTCCTCCTGATAGAAGTTGAAAGCATTGATTTAGGGGTAGATTTGCAGAGATAATAGTTCTAGAATAGCTTTGATTCCAAGAATCATAGCATAACACAAAAATCAAGAGGATCCAGCCTTCTTCCACCTTACACTGTTTTTCTTGCCTTTTAAAAATATCAAGGCTCATCTTTCATCAAGGTATATTTTTTTCTCCCTGCCAGGAATTTTACGTTAACAACCAGAGGTGAGTGTTGTGCTGCTTGTGTCTATGCATTTCAGTGTGCAGCTACCCTTGAAAATGTAAAAGGTTTTGGGACAAGGGAGGCTAATATGCATCTCCTGCAACACCAATTTTTTAAAAGCATGAGAATGCCTCGCTTTCGACACCGTGAGATGCTAAAAGAGTCAGTGTGAAGCCAACAGGTGGTCACTGAAGAGCTCTGGATAAAAAAAACGATGAAACAATACGTGATGCATAACCTCTACCATAAACGAACTATTAGAGGAATGGCAGGTGACAAAATTGGCAATAATTCTTACAAACTACAACAATTCTGGTCAAGCTACAGACCACCAGCTTTTAGCATCAATTGTGTAACTCAGCGAAAACTGGGAGATGTCTAAAGAAGAACAAAACAGATGCAATAATACATCACATATAACAGGGAAATGTGAACAGATTTAGTGGAAGATATTTTTTCCACACAACTACTGTGTGTTGTACAAGATGTTAACAAGCACAGAAAGATGACCTTGTGATAGAATTTTGAGTTTTACTAAAGCCTTCTGGCTCCTGAAGAAACATCATGAAATAATAGCCTACATCTTCCTGTAAATCAACGAGAAATTACAAAATAGGAAATGAGCAGCAAGAACAGTCAATTTTTGTAAAACAGAGACGCTGGCAACTTCTTCCACTTACACTTACTTGTCCCACAGACACTTACAGGGCCTGTGCTAGTCACTGCCTTTGTCAACAATCCAGTGAGTAATGAGATGACACTTGTTAAAAGGTGCCAGTACAGGGTTAGGGTTATGAAATGGGCATACAAAACTAAGGAGGGGAATTACTGTCACATGATACAATTTGCCTATCATACGCAGACAGCTCACTCGTTTTTCCTTTTGGAGTGCCCTTGGTGCCTGGGATTCATCCTGAAAGGAACTCCAAGAAAACGTCAGAATATGTGGATGCCTCAATTAAGATTACATCTTTGATATTCTGAGTGACTGCTGACTTCACTAACAGAGTAAAGTAGACACAGCCAAAGGATTTTCTGTATTCATAATCTGCAAGTTGTCCTTTTCTTTTGATCGTGGATGTCTACAAAGTTGTATTAATTTCAATGTATTACCAAAAAAATTGATGCAAGCTTGCTGCAAATTCAGTACCATAACAGACCAAGCTTTCAGACCATAGAAAAAAGATGCATTTTACTTTTTTTTTTTTTTTTTTTTTTAAAAAAAAAAAAAAACAACGTACCACAAAGGTTGATGAATTACCTAGAATCACTTCCTCATCATGAAGTGTTTGGCACAACTGTTTTCACAGCTGGGAAAAAAAACACTGTTTACTTAAGACAAGTTGCCTTAGGTGAAAATGAAGTGGATGAGATCAGATGTGCAGTCTCTGTGCATGCAGCTAAGTGATGATCCTGTTTTTACAGCTATTCAAAGCAGGATTTAGCCAATACTGATGTGGGAGAAAACAGTGGAGAAATCATCATTACTACTTACCTCTACAGCATGCCTGTAGTCTGAACACTCCACATATTTTCTTAAGGCATCAATGAAAGGATGTAATAGAAGACAAACGCCAAGAAACAAAAATGTAACAGATTAAAAAAATCACAAATAGAACAGAGACAGGTTAAAAACAAAACCAAAAGCCACTTGTTTCTGACAATACAAGAAATGAAAGGTTCAAAATCAAGTTATCATGTAAGCAGGTTTAAAAACAAATAATACTGTTAAAACAAAAACTTTTCTTTGCACAGCTGAAAGATGGAATTCATTCCCATAGGGCATTTTAGGAGCCACAAGTACAAATAAATTAGGACTAAAACAAATGAATGGCAGTAGGGCCTACTGCATACCTGGCTCAAACTAGCTTGAAACGTCACTAAGAGGTTGCTGGACAGACTAACCTAAAGCAAAATCTATGCACAAGTCTTTTGTGTATATTCTTTCCTATGCATCCACAACTGTTTAAAACAAGAAGATGATTACAGGTCAGGCAGGTTTGTGATTTGCCTTGTAACAGCACATTACATTTTTATGTAACACTACAATAAGATAAAAGAATATGGTTTAAATATCACCTCTGAGTTGGATTAGCCAATCTTACTTACCTGTTATTGCTAAGAGAGTTGTTGAGAAAAACTGATTGTTCCAAAACTGTCCATTTTGCAATGGCAAAGCACTAAGCTTAATGGAATATTACCCTCTTCCATTTAAAGCGCAACAAGATTTTTATATCAATTAACAGAACAAGAATTTATTCTGAATTGGATTAAACTGTAAAGTACTGAATACTCCAAAAATGAAGTGAACAGCATTCACATTATTAACATTTAATACAACAAGAGCATTTAAAAGGAACTAAAACCATAGGTTTCATTTCCAAGAACTGACAGTAACATCTAACATACCAACGCATGAAAATACTTCATAAAGCACTGCACAAGCTCAAATAGTATTACTGAATTTTGATCTTATTACACTCTGCATTCACATCATTTATCAAAATTTGTGGTTGTTGTTTTAAAATATAGAAATTCACAGCAATATGAAGTCACCCAGATGTTATTATATAGATAGATGCTGCAGTGATGTTGGGAAGGACATCACTGAAGAGGGAAAAAATGGTGGTTCAAGAGGGCATGAAAATCTCCCAGTACCAGTTGGATATTGTCAACTATTTACTTACTGATGGGAATGAAGTAGTCACAGGTTGAAAACTGAAGTGGTGATGAGCAAAGTGTCTTATCAACTTAACAGTAAAGAAGAGCCTAAAAGAACTGCCCAGGTGACTAAGCCAACAGCTTTTGCATCCCAGAGGGCTCTTCTGGAAACTCAGGCTACTCTTTGAGCTCTGCATTTGTTTGTTATCAGATTACAGAGCAGTAAAGATTACAATTCTCCAGCTATCATACAAAATATGTATACGTATTACCAATAAAAATATGCAGCACTGGCTGATCTCTACAGATGACAAAATACAAAGCCAATAAATACAGTTCTAAGGCACATATTATTTGCTGCCCTACAGACAATAAGTACTACGTGGTAAAGGTTTTTTGTTTGTTCTTAAAAGACATGTATGTTACTAAGAACTACTAAAAGCCTGACATTTCTTACTGGATACACTAGAAAACAAACAGGCTTTGATATCTTCTACATTCCTCTTCCTTTTAGATCTCAATTTCTTAAAGTGTTGGATCAAACAAACCTGTATGAAATGCACAAACTCGTATTAGTCGTTCAGATCAAGTATCCCATTATGTGGTGTGTACACACACTACACATAGTATACAAATTTACAATTGCATTTTAAATGTATAATTTTTAAAACTACATTAGCATTGGCTTGCACCAGCAACTTTTGTCTCTGAACAGTCATTCTCAGCTTCTCTTTTCACTGCAATGTCTCATCTCTCATGTTCTCAAGGGATGGAGTTCCTGTTAAGCATGCTCTTATGTAAACCAAAGTAGGGAAGTAAATGCATTAAGTTTAAAACCACGCTCCTGAAATTCCTAAATATTCAGTATTTGTGTGTGACCTTCCTGGGATTTGGGATTTAACTGCTTAAATTTAGTGAACTGTAGCTGTCCAAAACAAGCCTGGTTTTCAATGATAACAACCATAACCACAGACTGCAAGCTAAAATACCACAGTCACCTTAAGAAAAAAATCAGGGGAGTCTATTTGATTAAAAATCTCCTTTATCACACATGTAACTGAAAACAGTCTCTCTCTGCAAAGACAGACATTTGCAATGCTCTAAAGGCAGCCTGTTAACAATGAGGCACAAGCACTATTTCCAAGACATTTCTCCTCTCATATGTGATTATCAGTCTGGGAGATGACAGACTTTGAAAAGCATGGATGCTAAAAGTAACATTTTTAAATGGAAAAGAAACCCTATTCTTTATCCAATGTATAATACTATGCTATACCCTAGAAAGATCATAGTTACTAACACTTAAACTATTATTTCCTAGAAAAATAGGATGAAAAAGTTCTTGCAAACAAAATCCGAACATGCTTCTCAACTTCTTAGGGCTGACAATGCAGAAGTGCATTAACAGAAAGACAATGCATTAAATTATAAAATGAGTGAAGTCCAGAACTGTGTGCTAAGAGACTGGGTCACACAAAATTCTCCCTTCAGAATTTTATTTTTGCAGGTGAACCTAATTTTGAGATCCTAGTTTTGCTACTTTTAGAAGTGTGAAGACTCCATTTAAGCAGAGTATCCCCATGATGGGGCTCACAAGCCTGCCCAATTTTGGAGTATTAAAAACATTACTGCCTTTCAACCTTATAACTCTCCTCTGTTTCTAGCTCTGTACGAAGCAAATAGAGAATTGCAGAGCAGACAAAGCTGTTTCTTTGTGTATATGCTGAACTTGCTATGGCAGCTATTTCCTTCATGGTATAGTAAGGCTTCATAGCCCCTGTATCTGTCAGCCAAGATTTCACTAGAAAACTGTAGCACTGTAAGCTCTCAATACACACAATAGTTGATACAAGCCATAGGAAGTGAAAGGACCAACAGACTGAAGATCCTCTTTGTGGTACTGGGCACATTTCTCTGAAGGCAGAGATCAACTGGAATCTAATGCAAACTGCACTCAATTTCTACACTAAAAGCAAATGTTCTGCAGAACCACTGCTATCTGTCTCAGACCGCACCCCAAACTGTTGTACAGTCATTCAACACAGAATTTGTGTGTAGGAAACCAATGCATGTACAAGACACACAAGAGGGCCAATGCAACAGGATGCATGCTGGCCAGTCTCATGAAGAGCTGCTGTGTACTTTACACTGGTGCTGCCACTCGAGAACAATCCAGTAAGGTCACAATGGGGGCACACTTTGAATAACTGACTAAAAAATACAAAAAACAACCCATCAGGTGACTTTGTTGTTGCATGCCAGGGTCAAATCCTTCCATTTGGGTATCTTAAGGCAGGAAGAAGTATGAATTCCAACGCACCTAATCACAGGCCTAGTAACCTGCGTATGCAGTATGTCTCTCCTGCAAAGAGAAGAGCTGTGGAAGTAAAAGAGGTGCTTGCTTCTGAGGGTCTACAGCAAGAGCTTTGCACTTCTTAGAAGTTTTGGAGTTCATCTGGATCCATAGTACATAATATGATCCAGTCAGGATACTTTATTGTCCCAGCTTCTGATGCTGCAGTTACTTCTTGGGTTTCTCTAAGATGTTCAGGAACTTCCCCCGAGTCATTTCTCTAGCTGAAACCACAAGGGAGGAAAAAAAAGATTAATATTGAAAGAAATCCAAGAAACCCAAACAGAGTTGTATATTTTACAGTATTTAACCAGAGGGTAAGAAAATCATTTAATTATGCTTCTACTAAGAATAAGGACTTGCTTTATTTAAATGAAAGGTAAATATATCTGCATTACAGCCCAATTTCCTGACAATCTAAAAATGCAGGCAAGGCCTGAAACTTTTCTAAACTCAGCAATAACTCCCAAAGGCTTCCTTGTTACATAAAATCTCAGCTTTCTATTCCTACTGCATTACTCTCTAGCAGATTCCACTTCTGTCTCTATTACCATCCATCTCTGAATGGTATAATCCACATCTCCATCACTCTGTCTCAAAGTAATTGTTCCTGGATGTTATAATCCCATCAGAGATTATGGAACTCTCTCCATTTCAGGATTACTGGTCCCTGGATGCAACGATCTCCAACAGAAATCACACAGCATTCTCTCTCAGTAGTGTCAATCCCTGGGTACAGTAATATAACAGGGTTTATATTCCCCCCAACAGAGTTCATCCATGGATGGTGTAATAAACTAAAGTTTATAGAGCTTTGGTCTTCTCACTCTCTCTGCATTGTCATTCCTTCGATGTTTAATACAGCAAGGCAAGGTTTATACATCTCTCTTGGCACCATCAATCTCTGGTAGCTGTATTACACAGGGTTTACAAAGCCACTTTCCTGCATGAGATGCTTCTGACTTGTGAACACAAGCTCACAAACTGGCAAAGCAACCCACACACCATCTTTGTCTCACAACTCAATGCAATGCATCAAGGACAGCACAATTAGTGACAAGAGTCCTGGAGAGAGACAATTTCCCCACTGGAGCTTTCCATCATTTCTTTTACGTAAAAGTGCGAGCTTCGTGCTGGACTGACAGCCATCAAAACATGGATGTTTTTATTCACAGGATTGATGAGAGCACGCACATCTCCCCGTGCCTAACCTAGAGAGACTCTGAAAGGCAGAGATGGGAATTAATTTCCCATTTTCTCCATTCAATTCCTGACCTCTCTACTGAGAGGAACAACATAAAAAAATTATAAAACATAGCATAAAAAAATGAGGTGAGTGTGTTGCTGATGTTAACTTTTTACTCAGTATTACTTGTCATCTATTTGAATAGAACTGAAATATAATAAGTATTTGTTTAGCTTAAAATACTTGAATATTCACCATCAGGTAAAGGTATTTTGTTACTTTAGCTATAAAGGTTAGAAATGGTGTCTTGAAACCTATTCTTTACGTTATTACATTCCAATTTAGAAACTCAAATTCTAGCATGAGGTGCAGACATGTAAAACAGTATTGTTACAAAGTGCCAGGCACACTGAGACATTCAGAGGCTACAAAGCCCATCGCCACAAGTGGAACGTGCCCCACACAGCTACTGCAGCTCACTGTGTTATTCACGTGGTTCATGCCATCAGCTGTGAGTTTTATCATCTAGGATCCACTCTCAAACCTGCTTCTGAATCAGCGTGAGCTACCACAAATGTAATTTACTCCTTTGTATCTTTACCTCCCTGCCTGCAAGATAGCCTATGTCTTTCAGTGTTATTGAAGAGACACACCGGTAGAAGGCGCTGAGAAGGGCAGCAAACAGACTGCTATTTTGTCAAGAACTAAGTTGTCTAGCACAAAGAATGTGATTAAATAAAAATGCAAGTTTCTGAATGTGTCAGGTAGGAAAAGGTTTTCACCAACAGTTCTAAGACATCTCCCCGCCTTGCACCAGCAACAGTGCATGGTTTTGAAGCACTTCTTATGGAGAAAGCACAAAGCTGAACTACTGCTGATTGAGCAGAAAGTTTTCCTGAGTGCAAGTCCCATATAGGAGATATACGAATACATGACAATTCTGTTCCCTAAAGAGGCTGCACCCTATAAATCAGGCAGAGAGCATAGACTCCTTCTGTGCGCTGAGCAAAATTACTGTGGGTTGGGGGTTGCTCCAGAACACGTGCCCTCCTGTTCACTTGTCATCTGAGATGTTAACATTTCTGATTAATTCACAGACCTCTCATTTTATTCTTCATTCCTTTATCCTTGCTATCCTGTTCTGCTGCAGCTTAAAGATTCTTACCGACCTGCTACAATAATCACCGCCCGCTTCCCCCCCCAACCTGGTGAAATTGTTTAGCGATGCCAACCGCGCTTTTAATTTGCAAGACATCAGACACAGAGGTAATTTATACCAACATCTGTTCATTTCTGACTTCTGAAACAAACTCGCACATGCTGCTACAAAATCCCATTAGGAGCAGGAGACAGCCTTCTGCTATTCTGTATTCCTCTTCTCCTCACATACTCAGCCTTGCAACAGGGCTTTATTTTTAAAGATATGATGCCAAACAGAAAGAAAGGACCTTACATCTTTGTATATGTATGAAGACGGCCAGGAAATAACATCCTCATACCACAAACAAATCCCAGCCAAGCTAAGGGCAACTTTCCACGAACACTGACAATCTTGTTTTCCCTGCTTCAGCTGCTTCTCTTGTCTGCCCAGGGATCACAGTTCAATGTATTCCTCGTAAACACAGGCCAAATACATATTACACGGTGCTGTGTTCAAACGTCTTGGCTATTCCTTCCCCTTTGTTCCTCTCAGATCTGCACTGAAGTGTCTTCAGCTTGGGTTTCGCACAGAAAAGCCTCAAATATTAAACTGACTCTGCTGCTCAGCATTGCTTCTGATGAATGAATTCTTAGAAACAGGAATCATTTCCAACTGGGCCTTTTGGAGCTTGCTAGAAAAAGAAAGGGCTTGTGAAGTAAGACACCATCACCCACATTCTAAATACCAACACAGACTGGGACAACAAAACCCATCTTGAGCCACTACCCAAGGGACCAGTAGAAGCATGCTGTATGGCAGATAGAGGTGGACTTTTTAATTACAAGTTTGGACAGAACTGTAGTAAAAACCTTAGGGATTTTTCTTTAATATGGTTGCTTAAACTACAGACTTGTAGTGGAAAAAGGGCTTGAGCACAGGTTTCATCACACTAGGAGACAGCTACTACAGAGGCTGTGCAGCACGAAGCAGAATCATGAATCTCTGTGTCAAGAGACAATTTACAGCCTTGCCTTAGCAGTGCATCTACTACAATAGAAAATCAACAATGGATATGATCGCAATAGCTTGGATACAAATTAATCTCACATAGTAGGGAGGAAGGAGAGGGCACTGAAGACCATAGAAAAAAAATGCTAAGATGTTATCAGCACTGGTTACAATGGAAGTCGAGTGCTTGAATTGACTCTCAAAAAGATAACTATTGTAAAATGGTTTCAGGCAGTTACAACTAATAGAGAATGCTGTGCCCTGTGAGTTAAGTTTGCTGCTGGGGAGAAGCAGATCTCAGGAACAGGTATTGGACAGTAAAGTCTGAGGCTGAAAGGAGGAGGAGAGATTTCTACTTGATAGGGGAACAGAATAAGGTTTAATATAATCTCTTCTTTAGAACTCCAATCCTTCAATCCCGCATTTAGCCTTGTTGCCTGGGGTCCTTTTCTAGTACAACTGCCCTCAAGCTGCTTCTTCACAGTAAATTTTGTGGTTGCTAGTTGAAAAGCATCAGTAGTACAGATTGATTTCCTACAAGTGAGGAGATGAGGGATTACCAAAAGCAGTCTTGGTTAACAAGATTGGGTGCAGATCTCCTGCGAGAGCAGCCCACTCTGCCAGTGCTTTGCATCCTTTCACTATGACATATGGGTTTCATTACACAAAGATTTTCCTGATTTTAACTTGGAAGCGATTATACTGAAAACTCAGAGTTATCTTTACATCTGTAGCAATTTAAAGGTTAAGTAACTTTTAATCAAATGACAAGGACTCAACGTTTTTTTTTCCTCCACTGATAATGAAATCTGCTGTTCCATATATTCCTTCATGACAATTTAATAAGAAGAAAAAACAATGCACTGGAGATCTGGGCCCAGTCTGATTGCTTCCCATAAAAAGCCTTCTCATACATACAGCAGCACAGGACAAGCTGTGTCATAAGGTTTGGAGAGCCAGGAAATAATGGGAGGATTTACTGCTATAAAGTCAGCAACAAAAATAGTGACTTATATAAGAAACTTTCATCAGGAGAATCCCTAAGCAACACACATACATACACATGTTCTTAATATAGCATATACTTAAATACAGAAGTGCAGACTTGGTGACAAAGACTAAGAACAAAATGTGAGACAAACTATATTTATGATCATAATCACACTTTCCACTGCTTACTGCCTCTGGGCGTATCTCAAAACAAAGCCTTTGAGCATCTCCAAATCAAAGATATTTTAAAATGAAGTCAGCCCTCAAAAGATGCACTTCTCTGTCTCTTGGGCAATTTTGACTGGATTTCTCCTCCAACCTGAAAACATAACCATGTTGATATCTCAATGCCTTGCTACTAAAAAAAAACAGACATACAACTAATGTCACATGAACATAACATGTTTTAAGCCCTGTAGTATCACACTTCGAATGCTACATTCTTGACTACCAAAATGTTATTTGGGGCACTGTCATAATTTGTTAGCTTCTCAATTAAAAATATTCCCCTCATTCAGTTCCATGCAGTTGTCCTTACAATAGTTAAGGGACTTGACGTTCAACATGGATTCCTCTAAAGTATCAATCATGCATTTTCAAACTGCTGTGTCTTAGCACTACAGAGACAACAAAACTAAGAGGCCTTATTTGTGAAGAGCTATCAGTGTAAATTACCAGTTCAGGGAAAAGAACATGAACTGCAGAAAGACAGCAGAACACAAGTCTAGGTTAACTCCTCTGTCACAAGGGTATAAAGCTGCAGCAATTATTTCTTTTGTCCTTTAACACAATGTTAGGATAAGAGGACAATTATTTTTCCTAGTTGGCAGGATAGACAAAAAGGCACATAGAAGGATTCTGCCCAGGAGTTAATGTGGGATTCTTGCTTCTGAGACTTG